CTGCACCCCATCTACTCCTTTGTAGTCATCAAAACCTCTTCCTCTTCCTTTTCTTCATCATTTGACATCTCTAAATTTCTAGAGCATTAATTAGCTTAGTAATTGGTATGTGTTCAATCGATTGGTTCAATTTTTACGTATTGATTCCTTTTTCTTTTTAATTAAATGAGCTTTTGGTTATAGTGTTTAATAAGTTTGGTATGTTTCAATTAAATGAGAATCTTCTAGACTCTATATTCCTATATGTGGTAGAAAAATGAATACGTCCAAGATAACTTTTGGTAGATTAATGAATATTTTTAACCGTTGATATATATATATATATATATATATATATATATATATATTGTCGAAATATGCATGAAACATACACATTTGTCCCTTCATGCCACTTGGTTATAAGCAAACATCATGCATTTACTAATACTATTCCAAGTCATGCGTGAAACCTCCACATTTGTCCCTACATCTAACTTACTAATGCTATCGCTTGACTTAAAAAAAAAATAAAAAATCGAAATGTATGTAGTGGAAAAACACAATCTCAAACTTTAATTGAACTCACATAACAACGATAAATAAAGGCATTATCACAACTTAGGGGTGGTGAGCAATCCCATTAAAATAGAACGTAATATATACATATTAAAAACAAAAACAAATTGATGCAAAATCTCCCGACGACTAATACTATTCCAAGTCATGCATGAAACATACACATGTCCCTTCATGCCACTTGATTATAAGCAAACATGCATGAAACCTACACATTTGTCCCTTCACGCCACTTGATTACAAGCAAACATCATGCATGCACAAGTTATTTACTAATTAGTATTACTACTATTCAGCTATCATGACCTTTTTTTTTCTGTTACTCATACGCCCAAGACTTTGTAAATAATGTTGATTATTCAATACGAATCAACAACTAGTTGCACAGGGTCACAATCAATGATACTCCCAACTTGATAAAGAAAGAAAAACAAGGAAATCCACTTCCAAACTAAAATAAAATGTATATAAATATAGAAAATTGTTATTATCACTCCAAAAATCTCATTTCGCACTCCAAACTTTCTATAATTAGAAAGAAAAATACACTTGTGCAAAGTGTAAAATGAGATTATTTGAGTGCTAATAACAGTTCCCTAAATATGTCTTAACAAATATTGTATGTGGCATTGACTTAGACTTTCGCGAATAGACTTATAATTTCTAGTATCTAATAAATATCCAGATTAAAAATATTCATCGATCTACAAAATTTTCTCATGGAGGTACCCATTTTTTTGCCACAGATACCAATATAGAGGCTAAAAGACAATACGATATTAAATTCATATGTGGTCAAGATATTTATGAATTTAATTATTAAAATGTATAAGCTCAATTATACATTCAAGGTAGATCAATTCCCGAAGTTTTAGTCAACAATAAAACTGCTTACCTATGAGTTCACCTATAAAACTTGCAAAAGCGATATACTTTTTAACCACAGTTCTATGTATTGTGAATTGTTGTCCTTAAGTTTTGTGGCATATAGAGGCTAAAAGATACTACGATATTAAATCCATATATGGTCGAAATATTTATCATTTTAATCATTAAAATGCATAAACTCAATTACACATCCAGGTTAGATCAATTCCCGAAGTTTTGCTCCACAATAAAAACCGCTTAGCTATGAGTTCGCCTATAAAACATGCAAAGGCGATATACTTTTTAGCCACAGTTCAATGTAATGTGAATTATTGTTCGCAACTTTTGTATCTAATAAATATCCACGGTTAAAAATATTCATTGATCTATTAGAAGTTATCATGGACGTACCCATTTTTCTACTACATATAGGAATATAAAGGCTAGAAGATTCTCATTTAATTGAAACATACCAAACTCATTAAACACTCTAATCATAAGCTCATACCGATTATTAAGCTAATTAGTGCTCTAGATATTTAGAGATGTCAAATGATGAAGAAAAGGAAGAGGGAGAGGTTTGGATGACCACGGAGGAGTAAATGGGGGTGCGGAATGACAACCATGGGAGATGGAAGGATTTTTTAAAGAGAGAGAGAAGGGGATTTGCTCTATGGAAAGATGATGGACTGGGTAGGGTTTTATTTTTTATTTTTAAGTAGATTGAGTTGGGTGTAAAAAGAAGTTTGATTAAGTTGAGTAAGGACGGTTTCGGAAATGATGTTGGGTGTAAATAGATAATGATAGATAAATCAAATACAATATGGATATAAAAAGTAAGTTGGGTGTTGAGATACAAAATATGGGTTCAAATAAAATTTCCCTTTCAACAACTAGTTTCTTAAAAAAAGAACAGTAATGCTATTCTTACCATGTTTTTATATCACATTTATATATCACCTTATGTGTCATTTGATGTGGACAACACATCATTTAAATTGGAATTTAATTTAAATTAAAAATCATTCAATAAATCAATAATTAAAATAAAAGCTGGAATTAAATGGTGATTGTGGTATACGAGGAGTCTTCTCCTTCCTTCCCCATTCAATCCTGCTTCTTCTCCCGTTTCTTCTTCAACACCAGTTCTTTCACGCCATAATTTTTTCACTCCCCTATCTGGATTATTAGTACGCATCTATCATTTTTTTTTCAATGAATTTAATTTTTTTTGTCTGTTTATTTCTTCTTCTTTCTCTCAATCTCCATTGTGTAGCAAGATAAATTCTTCTGCGGGTCTTGATCAGATTCGACGTTAGTGGTGTCGTGGTGAGGGATGAAGGTTTCTTGACGATACGTACTTGAGATTACTTTAATTTGATTATAAGTAGGAACAAGATGGAGTCCTTAATGATTCAAAGTGTTAAATCTTCAACCCCCAGTATCATATTTTTCTATGAACAAAAAGGTTTAGGTAAATAGTCCAATGGAGATCGAGAGAAAGAAGAATAATAAACTGACTACAAAAATGTAAATTCATTGAAAAATAATGGTAAATGCTTACCAATAATCTAAATAGGGGAGCGTTGATGAACCTTTGCCGTATGAGAATTAGTTGAGATTGTGGTAGTCCACACTAACGTAAAAAAAACTGGAGCGAAAAAATATGGCGTGAAAGAACTGGCGGAAGAAGAAACGGGAGAAGAAGCATGATTGAATGGGGAAGGAAGGAGAAGATTCCTCGTATGCCACAATCACCATTTAATTCCAGCTTTTGTTTTAATTATTGATTATAAAAACATGGTAAGAGTATCATTATTGAAAAAAGAAAGAAAATAATCAATAAATTCACTTCAGGTGTAAATACATAGATTCACATCGCTTTATTTATTTATTTATTTGTATATTCCAAGTTGATTAAGGTAATTAAGTAATCTTTCTTGACTTAACTTTAAATAATTAAATAAACTTGGCTTGACTTTGCACACTCCCCTCGCTTATTGACTAATGACTCAGTACTAAGTCTTTTTTTTTGTTTGGTCAGAACTCAGTATTAAGTGAGATCGATATTTTTGTGTGCTCGTCCTGGAAATAAACAGGAGAAAGCCTAATGGTGGCCTAAAACAATAACAGACAAATCAGTCAAGATGAGGAACACAAAATATGCCACCATGCGTTTTAATCCCTTCCTTTTATATTAATTCCTACAGAAGGCCAACCATGCTCAAGAGGCAACGCGTATCGACTAATGACTAATACCAAGTCAGGTGGATGTTTTCTTGTGCATTTCCTGGAAATACATGGGACAAAGCCTAATCGTGGACTAAAACAATAACAGACAATTAAGAGTAGGACACATTTTCCCCCAACCCAAAATATTCCACCACGCGTTTTAATCCCTTCCATATATAATATATTCCTACAGAAGGCCAACCTTCTTAATTAGCAGTTCCTTAATTTCTTGGATCCATCACTTGCTTGGATTTTATTCTCTGCTACTGCTAGGATCTGCTCGACACTTTTCAGTTAATACCATATGGCGTTACATTGGAGGATGCATATTTTGCATCTCTCTTTAGTAATGGTGGTAGAAGTTACAATTTTACTAGCAACTCCAACTCCAACAACAGCTCAATCTCTCCTTCCGCCTCAGGCACTGCCTGGCTGCCCTGACCATTGTGGTAATCTCACAATTCCATACCCATTTGGCATAGGCGATGGTTGCTACCTCGAAGACCGGTTTAACATCACTTGTAACATTTCCACTCAACAGCCAACAACACTTTGGATGACGAGCGATGTCAAAATTACCAACATATCTCTTTATAACGGTGAGCTCCAAATACTACAGTTCGCAGCCAGTGATTGTTACAATGCTCAAGGCAACTCGACCAGATCGAACAGTCCCGAGCTCAGTGTGCCTCCTCCTTGCAGCATCTCCAAAACCAAAAACATGTTCGTTGCAGTTGGATGCGACACATATGCGTTTTTTATAGGTTACCGGGGTGAAGAAGAGTACACAACCGGGTGTATGTCCCAATGTGCCGATCTTGGCAACGCTATCGATCAGCGGGATACTTGCTCTGGCGTTGGATGTTGCCAAACTAAAGTCCCCAGTGGGCTGCAAAATGGGTCTGTGACCTTGGGAAGTTTTTACAATTATACGGATGTGCGGGACTCCCACCGATGCAGCTACGCGTTCCTTGTGCAAGAAAGCGAGTTCAACTTTAACAGCACGAGTTTTCGAGAACTAAACGTTACAACCCAGCTTCCGGCAATTATTGATTGGGTAATTGGGAATGAGTCATGTGATATTGCAGCTAAAAACGAGAGCACTTTTGCATGCAAGGCAAATAGCTCCTGCCATAATCGTTCTTCAGGCTACATATGCCAGTGCTGGTCAGGTTACGAAGGGAACCCATACCTCCCAGATGGTTGCCAAGGTAAATAAATCTAGACAGCATTTGACCATTTGATTATTATCATAAAAAAATTTGCGTTCATCAAAACATATTGTATGTATATGTATATGTATGTATGTAGGTCTACTTTTTTTTATTATGGTTAAACAAATAAAATTCCAATTTGCTTGACTTTTTTGCATATATAATGTAATAGAAGCAGGAGTTAAATCCCTTAAATAGTGCTAGGAACCTCGATCAAAATATTTAAATAAACAAGGTTTTAATATAACAATTAGGTTGACTAGAGATCAGAATCAAAATGACCCTTATCATTAAAATAACATGTAAGCTTAGCTGACGATGCCAAAGTAGCCACCAATTAGCCACGGATTATCAAATCTGAGGGTTCATGAACTGTTTCCCTCAGCATTTTTTTAGTAGCAAGTTGTTAACAAAAAGTCTCAAAAGTGGGATTTAATTTTTACCTGTTGTTCATGGATTTAATTCATTCTTTTTCTGTTCAGATATTGATGAGTGCAAGGCTCCAAACCCCTGCAGTATGGGAACCTGCATAAATACACCGGGAAATTATACTTGCAAATGTCCGAAAGGGTACAAAAATGACGATCCGGATAAAATAAGATGCATCAAGGCCGACGGTCGAGCAAAGCTCAGTCTCCTGCTTATTATCTCACTAGGTATGCATATGTTAGTTTTATTTTACTTTTTCTTTAGGCGCGTGTTTTTGCATATACAATGGATATTGGGTGAAGGGAAAAGTTGAACTCGGGTCTTGTGTGCGAACTTAGTTACAAATCTCTTGCTTGGATTGTTAGTTTATTACTAGAATCAGTGTCAATTTCTCCATGTTATAGCAATACCTCATAACAAATCGTCGGCAAACAAAATCAGTTTTAAGTTTTTTGAATTAAAAAGGCCAAAACACATTTTCAGAGAGTCCATTAGCCAGACAAAATCATAATAGCCAACCGCAGACAAATCCAGAAAAACATAGAAACAAATAGAATCATTTAAATTTTGTATGCTGTTAGTTTCTCAAGTAACCTATACATATTCATTCAAATTATGCATGTATTGGGGCGCTTTAAGCAGAATGGTAGTGTAGTATTCAAAATTTATTTTCAAATGATCACAAATGAATCTCCCACTATTCTACTTAAAACACCATTATTCCACTCAAAACTTAGTGAAAATTGCATTGTTTTTATAAAAACATTAAAAAACATATGAACTCATGCCCAACTTTGATTAATCCATAATTAATAGCTGACTATTTCAATACTAAGAGTTGATAAGAGAACATTGGAAAACATATGAACATGCCCATCTGACATTGCAGTTGATTAATCTCACATAAATCCACATCAAAAGAACCCAGAAATTTAATGAAGAATTTTCCAAAACCCACAATTTAAACTAAAACCCACAAATTTAAACGAAAAACTCTATAAAATCATGAAAAATTTAATAAAATCCAAGTATATTAATCACAAATTCGATCAAACAAATCTTCACATCCAATAAGTCTAGAAGGTACACTAAAAAAAAAAATGTTCAACAAAAGATTCAATACGAAAAACAAAAATTATATACCTTGATCACAAAGGGCTTGCACACACAAAAACCCCAATATTCGAAGACCAACGTTTCCTGACAGCAAAAATCAAACCAGATCAGACAGCCACACGCAAATCACCAAAAAAATTTAAATCAGGCACACTAAAAAAGCCGCAAAACTCACCAGAAAACGTTAGGTTATGTGGGTTAAAAACGGATTCCAATCGAACTCAAAAAGGGCACGAAAAACTCACCAGGAAACCCTAGCTTTTTTGGGTAAAAAAGTTCCTTCAAATCAACCTGAGAAACTGAAGAAGCATTCTTGAGTTCAATAAAAATCGAAATTTAAGCAAGCTTTCTGACCTGAAAACTTTGGATTAGATCAGCCCAGAACAAATTCTAAACGGATTAAAAATGGGTAGAAGCTTCTAACCCCCTACTGATTTTCAAGAAAACAACTTTGATAACTAATTCGCGAACAACAAAGCAAGAGGCTGAATAATTTGAACAACCAAAAAGATGAAGCGGTACGGGTAGAGAAAACAAATCGGAGACGGAAGGAAGGAACTCCATGTATGCGCGAGAGGAAAGTGAAAAGCTAAAAGAAAGGTCCAGAACAACTAAAGCCAAACCGTGCACCGATGACGGACAGGTGGAATAAAAGGGCATAACCGTCATAAAACGCTGACAGAAAAAATTTGGAGGGTATTTTCCCCACGGAAATGGATTCTCTCCTCGCTCCCACTTCCCATACATCCCCTGTTTGTGTGGTTACGGTTAAGTCACGTCAACATTTTATATTAATTTTTTAATAGAGATAATAAGACAAAAAGCAATAGTAATATAAAATATTGACCTGTTTTAACCGTAACTACACAAATAGGAGAGGATGGAAGTGTATGGGAAGTGTGAGAGTAGAAAATCCATCTCCTTTTCGCCACTCCATTGTTAGTGAACAGTAACCGAGAGTTTGGGTTTTAGGGAGGAGGATTCTCTCTCTCTCTCTCTCCCCCCCCATCTCTCTCCCATTTCCTCCCCTCCTATTTGAACTGTCACGGTTAAGCCACGTTAACATCTTATATTGACTAATCTCTTTCCTCTTCTCTCCCCTTCTATTTGAACGGTCACGGTTAAGCCACACCAACATCTTATATTGATTTTTTTTATAGATATAATAAGACAAAAAACAATGTGTGAGAAGAGGAGAGGGAAGATGATGAGAATAGGAGGGGAGAGAATCCTATTCCGAATTTTAGTATAGAAATAATTTACATATGTCACATCATACAGTCCTAGTCTAAAATTCTAAACTTGCTAATTTTCCTTTGAACAATTGCACTCAAATTTTACCCACTTTTAGAACCAAAACTTTCAAACATATATCAACAGTGCTCTTTGGAAGACAGGTTTTCAAATCAATATTATCAAGAATGTAACAATCGAAATTGGTACGTACACTTTGTTATTGACATGATATTAAAACTGATATCGGCACATTGTTAATAACATATATATGAAGAGTCTGTCTTGCCCAAAGAATGATTAATACTTACATATATGTGGCTTAGAAAGATCCATGCATATACAGAATGATTAAATATTCTCATTGTGTAGCATGTCATTTTTTGTTACAAAATATCGCTTTGCTCTAAAACAAGAAAAGTATTCACCAGACGACAAAAACAAGATTAATACATTGATGATTTGCTCTGTATAATTTCTTGTAATTCATGTGATCATCTTTGCAGGTGCCAGTGGAGGCTTCTTGCTTTTACTAAGTGGATCTTGGATATATTGGGGAATGCAGAGAAGAAAGTTCCTCAAACTCAAAGAAAAATACTTTAAAGAAAATGGTGGCTTATTGTTACAACAAAAAATCGCTAGTCAAGGAGGCTCTGTGGAGACAACAAAAATTTTCAAGGCAGAAGAACTTGAGAAGGCAACAAACAATTACCATGAAAGTGGAATCCTTGGTGAAGGAGGCTATGGAATAGTTTACAAAGGAATATTAGCAGCAGATAACAATAAAGTGGTTGCCATAAAAAAGTCTAAAATTTGTGTCCCAACGCAGAAGGAGCAGTTTGTCAACGAGTTGCTTGTTCTCTCTCAAATCAACCATAGAAATGTGGTGAGGTTATTGGGTTGTTGTTTGGAGTTAGAAGTTCCTCTACTAGTTTACGAGTTTATCGCTCACGGCACTCTCTTTGAGCACATACATGGCAAAAAGAGGAAAGGATCATCATTTTCATTGGAATTACGACTCAAGATAGCTGCTGAAACTGCTGGAGCACTAGCATACTTACACTCCTCAGCTCTGATGCAAATCATACATCGAGATGTGAAACTGACAAATATACTGTTAGATGAAAATTACACGGCAAAAGTGTCAGACTTTGGAGCTTCACGATTGATTCCTCTTGATCAAGCCCAACTTGCAACTTTAGTGCAAGGAACAATCGGATACTTAGACCCTGAATATTTCCACACGAGTCAGCTAACAGATAAGAGTGACGTCTATAGCTTTGGAGTTGTCCTTATGGAGCTACTAACAAGTAAACTGGCACTTGATTCTCATAGGCCTGAGGGAGAGAAAAACCTGGCAAGGTTCTTTCTTTGTTTAATGGAAGAGGATCGCCTGAATGAAATTCTCGATGATGACATACTTAACGAGAGAAACATCGAGACATTAAAAACAGTGGCCAATCTGGCAAAAAGATGTGTAAGGTTAAAAGGGGAGGACAGGCCAACAATGAAAGAAGTTGCCATGGAGCTTGAAGGAATGAGAATTACAGAAAAGCATCCATGGGGAAAAGATGAAATTTGTTCAGAAGAGACTGAGTGCTTACTTGGGCCAGGTAACTCAGATGCTTATCCTGTGGATGTTAGAGCTGGTTCTAGTACTAGTACAACTATTGGGTATGACAGCATGCAGATCCAGATGTTAATTCCATATGATGATGGAAGATAATTCACTACTTCATATAATCAACATTGCTCATCATTCTAGACATAGTGAAATAGTATTATTTTTCATCACATACTATAAGTGTAGCCGATGTCCTTCCTCTGTACCCTCGAGTTTGAATTTTTCTTTTGCTACAATTTAGATTTAGTTGAAAGTAAAGTATCGCTTGTATAAAATAAAATATTAATTTTCATCATTTTGACAGTTTTTATTTAGGAACCAGGATCCTCTCCTGAGCAGTTCCCTAGGGATCCTAGGGATCCCACAATCTTGTCCGTTCATTTTATATCGTGCGGTCAGTTTTCGTTAGGTACAATTCATATTTGAATTTTAAAATTTAAATTTTAAATAATTTCTGATCGCCTAGACCAAAATGCTCCACCTGTTCATTACAGCGAAATCATGATCACGTACCTTGAAATAAAATTTGAAATAGAAATACAAGAGAAGCACACAACCTAATCAAATTGCGCTCTTTAACATAAAACCCTGCTCAAGGAGATGAGAAAACTAACATAACCGTTGTCGGACTTGAAGGTTGGAAAAATTGCTCCCACTTGAGCAGCAGGAGATCATCTTATCTGGGTAGGAGAACAGAGCAAACCAGATGCATCTGATCCAACCACTGAAAGATCACAAACAGTACAGAGCTTCCCTTCCTGGTCCGGAACAAACCGAGAACTGCAGTATGGGCATGACACATCCTTCTGTCCACGGTAAATAGGCACATATGTTGCCCCACAAACCACAAATGGGTTTCTGAAATCATATCCTCAAGATCTTCAAGATCCCATCCTCCCTCCTCATTTTCCTCGTGTGCTTCCTCATCATCCAGCACTGCACTGATGTCTCCATTTGGAATATTGTCCACGTCAACAAGATCCAACTCCTCTCCCCAGTCAGCATCTGCAGCGTCTTCATAATATTCCTCGCATGACCCTCAACAAAGGCCAATCTCCTCCGCAGATGATTGGCGTTGGTGGTAACAAAAGGGACGGAGATTTCACCTTGGGTAAAACAGGAACATTATCTCCCAGTTCAGCCGCCAAACGTTCGGCAATATCATGGAGCCCATGAATTACAGCTGTGCTATAAGCAAGAGGTAAATGACCTGCATTCTCCAAGATCTTAACACGCTCTCTGATGTCACCCAAATACAAAGCATTGTGGAACTGGCCCATCACATCATTCTTGACTTCAGCAATTTTCAACATTTTGGACAATTTATCCAAGTTTCCAGTCACAAGATATAAGAATGATAGCCTCTCAAAATTCTTTGTCCTCTGATATGCATATTCTACAATGCCTGCATTACCCTGACGAAGGGCCTCCACTCCCAATCGATACCAGTGATCTTTCTCATCAATTTCCTTGGCAGAAGCAACAGCAATCTGGATGTTCCCGCTTCCTAGTGCCAAGTTGAAGCGAGTCCTCTCATCCTTCACAAATGAAGGGCAACCTCAGGGAAACCTTTCTGCTGTAGATATGCAATCATGGCCTGGCCACAGGGCTCAGAACTCCTTATCATGCTCATAACCTGGTCATACCTCTTCTTCAGTAAAGGATAACTTGAAAACATATTCTGTTGCATCAACAACAATGGCACAGTTCTTCCCATCTCGACCCAAGCAATGTATGGTGTTTCCATACACTTTTGTTATATATACAGGAGCGTCGAGGGTCCTGATGATTCTACTATCCCCATTAGGAAGGCAGTATTTGCTGTGGTTCAAGGTTGTATATATGAAGACGCCATTGTCATCCCTAGCTCCCCAACAATAATTCTCTGCTGCAGGTCAAAAATAATGACTCTGTCCTCTGCCCTGCACAGCAAGTTTCCAGTTCCAGCATAAAATATTGCATCAGCAACAATAGGTAGGGCCTCCAATTCCTCTTTTTGCCTCCTGCGCAGTATCACCCCGACCAAAGCTATCTTTGGGTATAACGTATAGTTCATAAGACCCCCCTTCCATATCTGAACATATCAAAGCAGCATTTTCTGTGGGGCTGTAAGATAGTGTCTTTGCCCCTTGATTCAAGTTGGAAGAACCACGATCTTTAACATAGTACATTGAATCACCGCTAACAGAAAAGGCAGGACGCTCCCTCTCCAATTTAAAGACAATCATGCCACTATCATGGCCAGCAGCCAAGAGGTTCATTTCAGGATGTGCTGAAAGAATCCAGAATCTATCATGCTCCCTGCGAAATGTCTGAAGACCAGTCCGTTTTGTTGCATCCCAGACTCGGATACTTCTATCCTCTGAATTGGACACAATAATATCCTGCCTTGAATGGAATAGAACACAGGATACATTGTTCATGTGCCCCCTTAGAGTGTCCACTTCCCAAGCCTTTGTATCTGAAATCGGAAAGATTAACAGGTTACCATTTGGCAGTTCAACCAAACAGGATTCCGTAATTCTATTTCAATCTTTCTAATACGAACACACTGCAAGAGTATTTAATTATGAATCTATATATGCATACCATTTCGCAAGAAATAAATAGTACATTTAGTGGGATAAGGCTTTGTTGTTGTTGTATCTCCAAAAGCAATTGTGTGGCTTTTTTCAGTGGTAATGATATTATTTGTGAAACTGGCCATCAATTAATTTTACAAAAGTTAGCATACCTAATTTCTAGAAGCTAATGAGGTGAAACTAAACCCTATAAAAATTTCAGTTTCTTTTTTTTTTTTTTTTTTCTTTTGGGTGAGGAGAAGGGGGAATGATATGTATAGATGTCTGGTATTTGACAGAATAATAATAGAAAAAAATTTAAATCACAATTCGGTTGCTATATCATGTGCTTGGTTGCTACAGAAAGGCAGATACCGAGTATGACGATAATAGACTAAAAGATCAGTCTTTAGGTATATATTTTCCCAATACATGTTGTGTTTGACATAACGACAACTGGATCTATTATCTAAAAAGAATATAATTAAATAATTAATTCGATTTAAATATTCCCAACCATTCATCCGCCAAAGTTTCACTTGTCGATCGTCTGCTCCAGAGACGATTAGAGGGAGTGTAGGATGAAATGATGCCCAATTCACACCCCGATCATGACCTTCCAAAACATACTTCACAACAGCATCAACTCCACCAAAGAAATCTGCATTCATCTGACTCAAGCGTAGAATGTCATCTGCTGGGGCAACCGTCTTTTTCCTGAGGGCACCAATATCCCAAACACGAACAGTTTGATCCAACGATGCTGAGTCAACAAGATCCTCCTTTGGATGGAATAAGGCACACATGACGTAATGGTTGTGTCCAGTGAGCACAGAAATACAAGTTCGGGACTGCCAATTCCATATTCTGATTGTCTGGTCATCACTTGCACTGACAATCCAAGGGTACTCATGATGGAATTGAACAGTTCGGATGTAATCAATGTGTCCAAGAAGTGTAAACAAACACCTATGCAACTTGGAATTCCACACCTTGATTTGTAATCATCCCCTGCCATGTAAACATAAACAATCAATTACTTCTCTCTAGACTCTTCCAAATTGGCAGTGCTATCATAATAACTTATCACTTCACAAACAAGTAAAAGCTTCTCAGGTTGATAGAGTAAGGAAAAACAGAGGTACTGATTTTCAGATTAAGAATATAAGAGTAAATAGTTCAGATCTGATTGATTCTACATGGCATCAAGAAGAACCTAATGAACTACACTACCATTTCTAACGGATACATCGGGCGAGGTACAGCAAGATGACCACACATTACACAATGTGACAAACCTAGGAGTAAATAGTTATACAGATGTGTCCACAGAAGAAACAGAGCAGATGATTGGCCGTCAAAACCTAATTTTTAGCAATAAGGAGATATATATTTGTTTGTACCATACTTGACCAATCCCGAAACTATTGAGCACCGGTCAACGTTATACTGTCAAGGACCCAGAATAGTTTCCTTCCAACCAGGAGGTCAATCACAGCGCGACACGTGTCGACATCAGAAGCCAATCTTAGCGCGACATGTGTCAACATCAGCAGCCAATCACAACACGACACGTGTCAATGTCAGAATGAAACTAGAAACTCTCTTCTATAAATAGAGATCATTTTCTCACAATATTTCCTAATATCATTTGTACTAAATCATTCACTAGTACTCACTAAAGGAGAGCTTGAACCTATGTACTTGTGTAAACCCTTTACAATTAATGAGAACTCCCCTACTCCGTGGACGTAGCCAATCTGGGTGAACCACGTACATCTTGTGTTTACTTCCCTGTCTCTATCCATTTGCATACTTATCCACACTAATGACTAAAGCAATCTAGCGAAGGTCACAAACTTGACACTTTCTTTTGTGCATCAACAATATTAATATGTTTTTTTAAGTATAGATGATCTTTTCATGCATATTTTTTCATGAAGTATTAGATAGATGGTAATCATTTTTAAGCTGTTTTTTTTTTGGTTTTAAAATGTTATGCAGCAAGAATGTGCGCAGATTATGGAATATGAAATTGGAAAATTGTTTAATCCAATAACGAAGAGAATTTTCTCAGTGCATGAAAAATAAAAGAATGTTTTAAGAAAAAATGTAAAAGAAAACAGTAAAATTGCGTGCCTGAGCTGGAAACGGTTTTTGAAGCATGCAGAGGAAAGATGCAGAAAATGAAGAGGATTGTATGCTGTAAACAAAAAGAAAACCAAACTGTTTACATAAAGGAGCAGGCAAAAGCTAAAAGAAACGAAAATTTGAAAATTTAGTGTGGTTGGTTTCCAAATGTTTCAAAATGTCAAAAAGCTGGATCAGAATTGGTTAATTATTATGGAAGCAAGTAAAGAAAATACTCGGATTGAAACTGGTGCAAGGGTTTTATTACGTGGAATAAACGCTGTTATTTATGTAATTTTGGCATTAATCACATTGTTGTTTTTGGGTATGGAAAACATAAATCAAACAGATTTAAGCAGTTAAATGAGCATCTGGTTAGAAAGGAACTTGTTCAGGGCTTAGATTAAGTAGATGTGTTTAGATGGCAACAATGGTAGTACAGAGTTTATTACTGTGTAGAGATTAGTTGATCATTAATTTTGGACCAAATGAGAAAAGAACAGAAAAATACAATCATTGTTATCCTAAAATTTTGGCACTGTTAGTTATCATAAATATATAGATTAAGGGAATGGAAATAAAAACAAACCAACTCAGTTAGATATGACAACGGTTCTCATAGATTTTTATTAAGCTGTAACTTAAAGGCATATGATATTAGGGTAATGCATTTTGGAGCAAGAAATGACAAATAAGTGCTATAATGAGTGAGATTACGTGATTACTAAAATTTTGGACCGAAAGAAATATAGTATGTAGGTAGAGAAAATGGTCATCTTGAATACACCATATGTGGTGGATGATAAATTAAGAAAGTAGGAAGGGAAAAATGAAATGGTATAAACTATATGCTAAATGATGACAGAACTGAATCCATTTGAGTCTTAGCTTGTGATCATTGATCTAGTTAATTACCACGCACCTTAAGGTTTGGTCCATAAATGTTTCTTGCAAGCAACGGAGATGCAGTGGTCTCTTTTTCCAAAAGAGTGCACATGCGGTTCTTTCTGAGGAACAAATGCATGCACCACCATTTCCTCCTGATTGAGTGGCAGATAAGAAAGCAAAAATTAAAAATTAAAAAAAAAAAAAAAGAATTGGTATAACGGCTGGCATAGTACTTGCAGAGAGAATATGCTTAATTTTGAACAATATATATGCAGTGGATGAGACAATTTGATCTCAAATTTTGCAGGACATCTTTAAAAATTATGTTTGGAGTATAGTTGTTTACATTATTTTCTCCATCTGAAATCAAAATTTTGAGACCTTTTGATGTAACTCTAGATGACGCCACATATAATTGACCATGGGTGAAAATAGGTTCTGAAAGGTATAACCAACTTGTTTCAAATTTAGGTTATGTGTACGTAACAACATAATTGGCATTCCTATCTTCAAACTTAGGTTATGTGTAGGTAAACCATTGAAATCCAATTATTCAAAAATTCAACAGGATATAATGTTTCCAAATTTTCAATATTTCCATTTGAAGGACACAAAAAATCATAACTTAGAAACACATGTTGTTCACCATGTAACAAATCTATTATATAATTGTTTATATCTGTAACAGTTGTGTTTTGAGGTGTTATAATAGCACGTTCTCTCAAATAGACAAAATTGTCAAAACAATTTTCAAAATCAGGATAAGTTGCAAGAAAAATTGATAAAATCGGATTTCCAAAAGAATGAACTATCAAATCTTTAGGTATTTCAATAAAAAAAATATGTCCTTATCATCTAAACTACTTTCACTAATTTTTCCATCACCTATTTGTAAAATCCAATTTGCAAAATCACTTATTTTTTTCTTTTCATCAATGGTTAATCCATTTTTTGATAATCTCATGTTTTCTTTTAGATAAAATATTTTAAAATGCGTCCACAAATAAGAAGTATTCAAATAAGCATTTATTATGTCATCTTTGCTTCCTCCGGGTATGACAGGTAATATTTGCCGAAAATCATCACCTAATAAAAGAGGTTTACCATTAAAAGGAACATTACTTTCTAAACCATTTAAATGGGACATAATATCCGAAAGAGATTTATCTACAACAACAACAACAACAACAAAGCCTTTTCCCACTAAGTGGGGTCGGCTATATGAATCCTAGAACGCCATTGCGCTCGGTTTTGTGTCATGTCCTCCGTTAGATCCAAGTAATCAAGTCTTTTCTTAGGGTCTCTTCCAAAGTTTTCCTAGGTCTTCCTCTACCCCTTCGGCCCTGAACTTCTGTCCCGTAGTCACATTTTCGAACCGGAGCGTCAGTAGGCCTTCTTTGCACATGTCCAAACCACCGGAACCGATTTTCTCTCATATTTCCTTCAATTTTGGCTACTCCTACTTTACCTTGGATATCCTCATTCCCAATCTTATCCTTTCTCGTGTGCCCATACATCCCACGAAGCATCCTCATCTCCGCTACACCCATTTTTGTGTACGTGTTGATGCTTCACCGCCCAACATTCTGTGCCATACAACATCGTTGGCCTTATTGCCGTCCTATAAAATTTTCCCTTGAGCTTCAGTGGCCTACGACGATCACACAACACGCCGGATACACTCTTACACTTCATCCATGCAGCTTGTATTCTATGGTTGAGATCTCCATCTAATTCTCCGTTCTCTTGCAAGATAGATCCTAGGTAGCGAAAACGGTCACTTTTTGTGATCTTCGCTAGATTGCTCCGGTCATTAGTGTGGATAAGTATATAAATGGATAGAGATAGGAAAGCAAACACAAGATGTACGTGATTCACCCAGATTGGCTACGTCCACGGAATAGAGGAGTTCTCGTTAATTGTGAAGGGTTTACACAAGTACATAGGTTCAAACTCTCCTTTAGGGAGTACAAGTGAATGATTTAGTACAAATGACATTAGGAAATATTGTGGGAGAATGATCTCGTAACCACGAAACTTCTAAGTCCCGGAGTGTGGTATCGGCTTGACTTTCCTTATCTGTCTCATAGGTAGATGTGGAATCTTCTCTGGAAGTACTCTTCCTCCATCCAGGGGTGGTATCTGTAACTGGTGGAGATGCACAAGGTAATGTATCAATGTCACTTGAAGCTTACTTGTAGTTTCAGGCTTGGTCAAGCGCGATACAAACCATGTAGTAGGAGTCCCCAAAGTCGCCGAGCTAGGGGATCTGCTGAAAAAGGTAACAGACAAGGTAAGCAATCAGAGCTCCGGCTGATTGTTCACATTCTCCCTATCTTGCAGGCAGCATGAAGGATAAAGAGAAGAAAAATGAGAAGAGATGATATGGGATACTTTTGCTTTTGAAGAAGTAACTTTCCACAGGCTTATTCTTGAACTGGGCTGGAGGGTTTTCTGGTTTCCTCCAAAGTATAAGGCCGACTGAAGAATTTGAGGGTCAAAACAAGTCCATCAAATCTAGAGTACGTTCGACCCTGCTGATATGGGATACTTTTGCTTTTGACAGAGTAGTGGATGTATCGGCACGTGTGCTGTTACGCTTGTCTCCACATGCTTCCTTGTATCCTTCTCACTTGCCCTATCTGTTCCTCAGGCAGATGCGGTATCTTCCCTGGGAGCATAAGATGTTGAAGATGAGTACTCGAGAGCAATGCCAGGGTAAGGGGTTCCAGGCAGTCAGTTCCTGGCTGGAAGCTTGATGCCAAGTGCTGACTGATTGCTCTCTTTCTCCTTGTCTTGCAGGTAAGAACAAGGCCAAAGGAAAAGACAAGAAAAAAGCATGATATGGGATACTCTTGCTTTTAACCCTGATGATATGAGATATTCTTGCTCTAGTATAGCTTGTTTACAGAGGTATTATCGGGGGGAAAGAAAGCTGAATATTTCGAAAGGCTTCGTTGGGAGTGCCCTCTCATATAAGAGGAAGGGTTGAGCATTTTTGCAGGTCTGCCTGTCCGTTGGGGATGGAGGTCGACATATATAGGAGTCTCCCTAACATCAAGTAATAATGCTATTCCTTTACCCTGCTTGGTCATAGCACGGTAGTGGGAGCTGCCAGCTTCACAAGTTTTAACTCTGTCAGAGCACTTTGAAAAAGTGGTCTGTGGTATCTGGAAAGCTGATGTTGCGTGTGAAGATTACAGACAAGCTTTATCCAAGGAGATCCGGCTCTTGAAGTTGGGAAAGTGGTGCCTCTTCGGTTTTCGAACAAGCAATCCTGTCGGGGATCTGGCTCTCGAGATTCGGAGAACGATGCCTCTTCGATTTTTTGAGAAAGCAATCATGCTGGGGGTCTGGCTCTCGAGATTCGGAGAGCGGTGTCTTCGATTTTTGAGAAAGTAATCATGTTGGGAGTTGGGAGTGTTTTCTCGAATATGAGTAAAGGTTGGGCATGTTTGCTAGTCTACCTTGCCACGAAGCACAGAGAGGTTGACACACAGGGACTTTCCAATTATCCAGCAGTGGTACTATTCCTTTACCCTCTCTTCGATTTTTGAGAAAGTAATCATGTTAGGAGTCTGGCTCTCGAGATTCGGAGGGCGGTGCCTCTTCGATTTTGGAGCAAGCAATCTTGTTGGGGGTGTTTTCTCGAATGTGAGTAAAGGTTGGGCATGTTTGCTAGTCTACCTTGCCACGAAGCACAAAGGATGACACACAGGGACTTTCAAATTATCCAGCAGTGGTACTGTTCCTTTACCCTCTCTTCGATTTTTGAGAAAGTAATCATGTTGGGAGTCTGGCTCTCGAGATTCAGAGGGCGATGCCTCTTCGATTTTAGGGCAAGCAATCTTGTTGGGAGTGTTTTCTCGAATGTGAGTAAAGGTTGGGCATGTTTGCTAGTCTACCTTGCCATGAAGCACAGAGGTTGACACACCGGGACTTTCCAATTATCCAGCAGTGGTACTGTTCCTTTACCCTTGTGGGTAATAATATGGTAGCTAGGCCGTCAAAATTTATGTGTCTAAACTTTGTTAGTGTTGTTTCTTTGCTATTATTTTACCCTTCTTGGTCAGAGCGATGTAATGAGAGTTGCAAGCTTCACGTGTCTCGACTTTGTCAGAGAACTTTGGCAAAGTTATATGTGGTACCCATGAGCTACTGTTGCGTGTGGGAAGTGGGTGATTGAACAGTACGATTCATGTGCTTTCTACTTCGCCAGAAATCTTCGACAGAATGCCCATAATTTCCGCAAAGCTGAGTGTGCGTGTGACAGGTGCTGACAAGGCTGAAAAAGTAGTCTCAACTTTGTCAGAGAACTTTGGCAAAGTTATATGTGGTACCCATGAGCTACTGTTGCGTGTGGGAAGTGGGTGATTGAACAGTACGATTCATGTGCTTTCTACTTCGCCAGAAATTTTGAACAGAATGCCCATAATTTCCGCAAAGCTGAGTGTGCGTGTGACAGGTGCTGACAAGGCTGGAAAAGTAGGTGCCTCTTCGATTTCTGAGATCGACCCTCGTGGTCTCTGAGCAGCCCAGCTTTTGAGAAAGCAAACCTCTTCGATTTCTGAGATCGGCCCTCGTGGTCTCTGAGCAGCCCAGCTTTTGAGAAAGCAAACCTCTTCGATTTCTGAGATCGGCCTTCGTGGTCTTTGAGCAGCCCAGCTTTTGAGAAAGCAAACGCCTCTTCGATTTCTGAGATCGACCCTCATGGTCTCTGAGCAGCCCAGCTTTTGAGAAAGCAAACGCCTCTTCGATTCCTGAAGCTTCGTCGAGTGCAGATTTTTAGAGGCTGACATTAAGTTCCAAAGCACACTTGAATATCCACCAGTAGAAGCTCCATTCTTGCACTTCTAAGATCTTGATTTGTCCGACCTCTTCTCTCTTCTACACCTTTGAAAATGTCTGGCCCCTCCGACCGTCGTTTTGACTTGAACCTTGTTGAAGAGGCAGCCCCGCCTTCTCCAGACAACATATGGCGCCCATCCTTCGTCTCCCCTACTGGTCCTCTTACCGTTGGGGATTCCGTGATGAAGAATGATATGACCGCTGCGGTAGTGGCCAGGAACCTTCTCACTCCCAAAGATAACAGACTACTTTCCAAACGGTCTGATGAGTTGGCTGTTAAGGATTCTCTGGCTCTTAGTGTTCAGTGTGCAGGTTCTGTGTCTAATATGGCCCAACACCTATTTGCTTGAACCCGCCAAGTTGAATCATTGGCGGCTGAAGTGATAAGTCTCAAACAGGAGATTAGAGGGCTCAAGCATGAGAATAAACAGTTGCACCGGCTCGCACATGACTATGCTACAAACATGAAGAGGAAGCTTGACCAGATGAAGGAATCTGATGGTCAGGTTTTACTTGATCATCAGAGATTTGTGGGTTTGTTCCAAAGGCATTTATTGCCTTCGTCTTCTGGGGCTGTACCGCGTAATGAAGCTCCAAATGATCAACCTCTGATGCCTCATTCTTCTAGGGTTCTGTCCAGTACTGAGGCTCCGAATGATCCCCCTCCGGTGCCTTCTCTTTCTGGGGCTCTACCGACTGCCGAGACTTCTCCTAAGCAACCTTTGTGAAGGCTCCCTCTTGTTTGTTTATTTTGACTCAAGTATATGTACATATTTGTAATTTATCGGGGATATCAATAAATAAGCTTTCCTTCATTTCAACGTATTGTGTTAAATCACCAAAGCCTTCTTCGCTAAGTTCTTTGAATTTTCTTTTGTTGAAGCTTGTATGTTGGAGCTTTGTGAGTGGAGCATGTAGGTTGAGGTAGTGTTCCCTTAATTTCCCGAGCGAGGACAACTTCTCGGTTGGAGACTTGGAAAATCCAAGTCACTGAGTGGGATCGGCTATATGAATCTTAGAACGCCATTGTGTTCTGTTCTGTGTCATGTCCTCCGTTAGATCCAAGTACTCTAAGTCTTTTCTTAGGGTCTTTCTCAAAGTTTTCCTGGGTCTTCCTCTACCCCTTCGGCCCTGAACCTCTGTCCCATAGTCACATCTTCTAATCGGAGCGTCAGTAGGCATTCTTTGCACATGTCCAAACCACCGTAACCGATTTTCTCTCATCTTTCCTTCAATTTCGGCTACTCCTACTTTACCCCGGATATCCTCATTCCTAATCTTATCCTTTCTCGTGTGCCCACACATCCAACGAAGCATCCTCATCTCCGCTACACCCATTTTGTGTACGTGTTGATGCTTCACCGCCCAACATTCTGTGCCATACAGCATCGCCGGCCTTATTGCCGTCCTACAACATCTATAACAGAATCATAGATAAGTTTTTGACCTTCATTCAGTTGCAATTTTAAAAATGTGTTTTTTTGACAATTCTTCACAATCATAATATAATTCTTCTCTTAAAATTTATTTTTAATCTCCAACATTTTTGTTGCATCGTGCATTGGTAAATGATATTTGGCCAACGAACTTGATGCATTGTTAAAAAGTAATTCTAGCTCAAACAATACGGAATTTGAAGATTTCCCACAATCACAAAACAAAATTATTGTAACAAACAATTGTTGTAACTGATGAGACGACGCTACATTTATAGCACTTGATAAAACTTCAAACCATTCTTTATCATCTCCTAACAATCATAATGATTTACACGCAGCTTGATATGAAGGATGTATAACACCATTAATAGTTCTTATATCATCAAAGCCTAATGCACCTTTTTTCAAATTCAAAAGCATTCGTAAATAATATAATCCATCAGATGCAGGATACACATATGTTATCCTGCCTATTGAACCTTTTTGTTTTCTAGGTATCCAAATTTTTTTCCACGTGTCATATAAAAATTTGGAAGGAATTTGTGCATAAGTGAGTGAGCGTACCTTGTTATAAATTTTGTTAGTTTCAAACCAACTTGTTAACATTGTATGGTTAGAAGCATTTTGTTTAATAATTAAATGGAGCGATTGATCCCCACTGAAAATAATATTTTGTTCTAATGGTAAATGCATTGGCAATAGCTCCACAGAAGGTTCCCTATGGTGTATAAAATATTGAAACAATCTCCAAATAGTTTTGTAAGGCGATATGTATCTACAGTTTAGATATGTTAATATTTCATCATTTGGATCCTGTTGAAGAACTAACTGTGCTCTATCTGAACATTTATTTACATATTTGAAGTTTGAACAAATATTTTATAAGCATTGATTGACAACATGATTCAACATTTATGTGAGCATTATATCTTAAAAGCAATTCAACATTATAAGGAACAACAAAACCGTTATCAATTTTGATCCCATTTTTTATTACATATTTTGCATCATCATCACGATGCCTATAAACTGGAAAACCATTCTCTTACAAAATTGTCTCATTTTTTTATGATTTAGGAAAGTTTTTGGAACACTTAGGGCCCGTTTGGTATCCTACCAAAAAATTTGATTGTTCCTAAAAAAAATTTCAAATAACATCACTTAAAAACAATTTTCTTTTAAATCTCAAAATTTCAAAATCTGTTTGGTTTGAGTTTTTAAAAATAAATTCTTTAGTTTGAATTCAAACTACCTTGAGCAGAAACTGGAGGAGAGAGAGAATTGGGAGAAAGGAGAGAGGAAATAGTTGGCGAGGAGAGAGAAGGACAAGGAAGGGGTGAGGAGGTGAGCGAGAGCAAAAAATTACGGTGAGAAGGTGAGGAGTGAGAAGAAAGAGAGGGTGATGAGACAAAGGCCGAGGAGAGAGAGAGAAGACAGGGTGTGACGAGAGGAAGGAGAGGGTTGGGAGGGAAAAAAGAAAGGGTTAGGAGAGAGAGCCAAAAAAAGATGTTGATGAGAAAGCAGAAAAAACTCTAAAAACTCACTTGTAATGTTTTTAAGAAATAGCCTATGTTTTTAAGTTAGTTTTGAATCCAATTTTTAAAAAGAGTCATACCAAACAAAAATTCAATGCCTAAAACTCAAAAAGTGTTTTTCAGTTAAAAAAGTTGAACTCAAGTAGGATACCAAACAAACCCTTATTTTCCTGCATGCAAGGAGAATTTTGATTAATATGCCCACATGGACCATGAATCATAAATTGATTAACAATTTCATAAAGCTGAGGATTGAGAAACTTGTTTTGTAACTCATCAGAAATAATTGAATGAGAATGAGGCAAACCTCTTTTTTGAAATTCAATCGTACAAACATCTGTTTGCAAATACAATTGAAACAAACAAAAACCCAAAAAAATAAAGTTAGCTTGATGAACCAAAAAAAAAAAAAATTGAGATAAGAGAAGGAATAAGTTTTCAGAAACTCACTTGCCTTAACCTGTCCAAAAGGCTTTCCAAATTTGATGAAATCAAGCATATCATCAAGCTTCATTTTAAATATTCTATAAATTATATTAGGTTAGGTTTGTAAACTGGTTTTTTTTTTTTAATTCTCTTATAATTTCTAGCCACTTTACATTACATATAAATGTTATTAACATTTTTGCCCTAAATTGTTTGCTTCATTGTCACCTCTCAACATTGCATCATAAATTCCCTTGTAAATTTCACTTCTTAAATTTTTTTGATTTTGTCTAATGTAATACAGCCTATCTTATTCAAGTGTTGCATAATAATCTACCAAATACTGTTGAAAAAAAATCTACCTCCTTTTAACAATGTAGTTAAGGACGGATCTCTTTCTTGAATCTGATAAGCTATATAAGCTCTCATAGGTATTTTTTGTCATTTTGTTTTTGGACCATAATAATTTTCATTCCATTTCAAATCTGGTCTATACTCATCTTCACCATACGGAAAAAGAATAGGATTCTAAAGAGCCATAAATTTCAGAGTAAACAACTGTTTGTCTCCATAGCAGTTTCTCAGAGCATTTATGTTGTCAGAAAGATAGTGCTCCACTCCAGAAGGATGGACAAATGTACCAGATGGAGATTGACCCAAAGAAAACATAATTAAAAGTTAGCATCTGATGACCAATTAAGGTGATGCAAGAGGGCAACAGGTGATGTGAAATTATTATACCAAAATATCCAATGTTTGTTAATCTAATCACCCAATAAAATAAAACAGAAATTAAGCACAACAATATCAAAATTAAAATGAAGGAATAATATGAAACCTTGTGCATAGAACGTTCGTGAGAATGAATCACATAACAATCAAGGGTGGACAAATCACAAAAGTGACAATTAAAGGGCACCTAACGGACACCCCCATCTCTCTCTTTGCAATCGCAGAAATCTCTCGGGTTTGAGGAAGTAAATGGAAAACAAAATGCTTTTCCATCCCTTACCTATACCCATACCTCCCTTACCCATTCCCTTTACCCTCGCAGAAAATCGTCCCATCTCTCTCTCTCTCTCACCCTTGTCCCATCTCTCTGTCTGCAAATCGCAAAAAAGAAACCCTAAACAATAAAGCAAAATGGTACTTACTTGTTCCTTGTCCAAAACTGTTGGTGCCGCCGCACATTGTTATCAATGGTTTATCAAATCCTTCAAAACTTAGACTGCATGAAGAATTAGAAACTAAAAGATGAATATATGCTGTAAATCATCATATAAATGTAACTGCATTTAAAAAAAAAAGAATGAATTCTATTTCATCAGTATGGAACTGCATGAAAAGTTACATTGAATGCAGACTCAATCAATTTCCCCAAAGTCATTGTTATCTGAAAATCAATACCAAACCCATAAATACCACCATTGAATTTGGCAAAACCCAAAAACAAAATACAAAAATTTAGGGTTTTTATCACAAATTGTCTCTAACATTGATCAAACACATCATTTTGATCTCTGACATTGAAAATCAATAGAAATGATCCCTGAGATTGATCAAACACATCACAAATGATCCTTTCGTTAAAAACTCTTTGGACAATTTTCAAAGCTTCGTAACTCAATCATTTCTTAACCAAATTCGACCCATAATATATCAAAATGAAGATAGGAAAGTGTAGAACAATATTATACCTATTTGGAAGCCCAATGGTTGCCGGAGATGGCCGGAAAATAGCCTCAAATGTAACTGGTCCGCAGAAAAACTGGAAAACTCGCCGGAAACTGGGTAAACTTTAAACATTCATAACTTCTTCAATACTCAACGAAATTGAGTGATTCAAAAATGAAAATCATAATTCTCGACGAGGCAAAGAGAATGGTACCTTTATTGACTGCTAATTCACCATGGTTTGGCCGGAAAACGGCTCGAAATTGGATAACCATTTTCGAGTTAGCCAATTTTGAGCTATTTTCCAGCCAAACTACGATGAGTTAGCCATCAAGAAAGATACCATTCTCTTTAGCCAATTTTGAGCCGTTTATGAACGTTTAAAATTTACCCAGTTTTCGGCGAGTTTTCCAGTTTTTCTACGGACCAGTCACATTTAGGCTATTTAAAAGCCATCTCCGGCAACCATTGAGCTTCAAAATAGGTATAATCTTGTTCTACACTTTCCTATCTTCATTTTCATATATTATGGGTCGAATTTGGTTAAGAAACGATTAAGTTACGAAGCTTTGAAAATTGCTCAAAGAGTTTTTAACGGAATGACCATTTGTGAAGTATTTGATCAATCTCAGTGACCATTTCTATTGATTTTCAATGTCAGTGACCAAAATGATGTGTTTGATCAATGTCAGGAACTATTTGTGATAAAAACCCCAAAAATTTACTCATATAATCACAGAAAAACATGAAATTTGAGCACCCATTTGGCCAAGTTAAAGGATAAAGGCTCTCACATCATCATTGTACTCTTTGGGAAGATCTTCTAATACTGGTTCTTCCTTTTTCTTGCTCTTCCTCAGAACTGCCATAAAAAAAACCCAGAGAAGCACACAAATTCAAAAAAGAAAAGGTCCAAAACTGCCATAAAAGAAAGCAACAAATTTATCAGAAAGAAAAAATTACAAAAACCAACTGATGTGAGTGAGTAGTGAGAGGTTGTGTTAAGACACCTGAAACACATTTTGGTTTCAATTGAGAGGGCCAGAGCCTTGCATGTGAGGAAGATGACGATAGGATTCCAAAGACAGAAAAGAGTAAGACAACAGAGGCAAGAGAAGGGAAATGGCGGCGAGAGGAAGATTGGACGGAGGTGAGACCGTCTATGGTGCGACACAGTGGGTTTCACAGCTATTAATCAAAATACACAACATGAAAGCCTGTTTGATCACTGTGCCAAAATTTCTGCTTGTTTGCAAAATTGGCAAAATTTGCACACAGGTTCACAATTCGTCGTCTTCCTTTTATCAATGGATCCTTTAAATATCCAAATGATCAAGGTCGATCGTGCTTGCAGAATACTTGATGAGCTCCTTTTGGTAATCCACCTAAAACAAATAAGCACAATATCTATGTAAACTGGCATTTCACACAATTATACATTAGTTATGGCATCTTTGGAACTAAATGACTTCAACCTTAATATCCTATAAGCAGTATGTTTCTATATTTTAAATCATGTTATGATAACAGGTAAATATAGATGATACAAAAGTAATTTATCCAACCATTTGCCATGGCGAACACTATTTGCTCCAATTTTCAGGCGATACAAACTTCTTGGTATCATTGATGGCACTGAGATTCTTCGCCATTCTTGCACGATCGCTCGATGAACCCTACCTTCGAGGATTGGTATGAAAAGGATCAAAATCTCTTGATCTGGCTTAATTCTACCCTATCAGAAGAGATCATTTCGTTCACGGTTGGGGTTTCCTCTTCTCGTGAGCTTTGGGTGAAGCTTGAACAGCGTTTTGGTGGAGTTTCGGAGGCTCACATTCACCAATTGCGATCGCGACTTCAATCAATTTAGAAAGGATCTCAGTCCATCTCTGAGTATCTTTAACAAATCAAGGAAATTGTTGATTCCTTGCAAGCTGCTGGTGTCCGATCGTGACCTAATTGCTGCCACCCTACATAGATTGCTTGATGAATTTGAGTCCTTTATTGATTCTATCATGCTCCGGTTATCTTCTACATCCCTTGATGAACTCCATGGTCTCTTACTCACCAAAGAGTTGTCCATGGCTCACTGCAAAACTGTTAATTCATCATCTACAACTGAGCCCTTTCAAGCCTTCTCAATGCAATCTCAGCCTCCCCTGCTTCCTACTCCATCTGCTTTTGCTACTCAGAACCAACCACTTCACTCTGCTTCTCGGTTTAACTCAAATCGTGGTAAGCCACCTCGAGTTAATTTCTCCTCAAATCGCAGCAATCGCAATTTTCATAATAATTGTGGTACTTTCACCAACAATCGTGGAAATCAAAATTATCAAGGCTCTCGCAATTATCAAGGTTCTTCCACTTTCAGATATGTGGTTATACCAGTCATGAGGCAATTGATTGCTTTGATTGTATGAATCCGAACATCTGTGGTCGAATTCCTCCAGCCAAACTTGCTGCTATGTGTGTGCATCATTCAGCCAAACCCTTTCAGCCTTGGTTAATTGATTCTGGCGCCACTTCCCACATCACCAATGATGTAGCCAATATTTCTTCTCCTACTCCCTACATTGGGGAGGACAAAGTGTACATTAGAGATGGTAAAGGATTATCTATCCATAATATTGGTTGATCATCTCTGCACACTCCTCATAATTCCTTTTAAGCTGAGAAATGTTTTACATGTTCCTTTCATGAAACATAATCTCTTGTCTGCTTATCAATTTCTTAAGGATAATAATTGTTCATCAACTCTTGACCCTTATGGATCCACTGTCAAGGATCACATTTTGAGGAAGATGCTTTTGCAAAGACCCATTAGGGATGGTTTCTATCCTCTACAAGGTTCCACCACTTCTCATACTTCTCCACCTTTAGCTTTTGTCAACATTAAAGCAACTATCAATAATCTTGCACTGCAAGGCAAGAAGATTGAGCTTCCTTTTGGAGTGGCTTCTTCATCAACAACTCAAAGTCTCCAACTTCTGCATTGTGATCTATGGGGACCTGCCTCTGTCACATCTAATGGTGGTTTCAAGTATTACATACTTCTTGTTGATGATTTTAGCAAATATAGTTGGTTTTTTCCATTGAAGTCCAAGTCCGATGTATTTTCTACATTTGTTACTTTCAAAAACTATGTAGAAAACATCAGTGGCAATAAAATCAAGATTCTGCGTTCAGATTCAGGGGGTGAATTCACTAGTCACTCTCTTGCTTTATTTCTTAGTGCACATGGTATATTCCATCAGTTTAGTTGTCCACATACTCCTGAACAAAATGGTTGTGCAGAGAGAAAACACAGACATCTTATTGAGACAGCTTGAACATTACTTGTTGCCTCTCATGTTCCTCAGGTTTTTTAGGGTGAAGCATTCTCCACTGCAATATATTTTATTAATAGACTTTCTATTTCTAGTTTTACAAAGTCACCTTGGGAACTCTTCAATCAACATCCAGAATACTCTAAATTGAAAGTCTTTGGCTGTCAATGTTATCCATGGCTTAAACTTTACATACAGCAAATTGGATGCTAAGAGCAAAAGTTGTGTGTTTTTTGGATATAGTCTTCAACATAAAGGCTATAGGTGTCTTGATCCCATGACAAATAGAATCTACATATCAGGACATATTGTCTTTGATGAAAAATCTTATCCATTTAAGTCACTGCAGCTCCACAATTCCATTTCAGAGAATTCATTTTCAGAATATTCTCCATCTTTGGACCTTCACTTCAGTAAACACTTCTCAAGTTCCCCTACAGCTAGTAACTCTTCAGAACCACAGTGTACTTCTGTACCTAATCCCATCACTCAGATCTTAACTTCAACTGAGAATCCTTCATGCAATCAGTTAGTGGATAATTCTCACGGTTCTTCCAGTTCTGTCTCTCTCAAAGAATCCTCCCTAGTGCCTATTCAGACAAGTCATCCACCTATTTCTGTGAATCCACGTCATATGATTACAGGATCTAAGGCTGGAATATACAAGTCTAGAGCTTATGCAGCAACGAAACATCCATTTCCAGTTGATCCTGAATTTGTTCCCAGTACTTATTTGCAAGCATCAAAGCATGCTCACTGGAGAACTACAAAGCAGGCTGAATATAATGCTTTAATAACCACGGGCCCTTGGTCTCTTGTTCCATCTCATCCTTCTCAGAATGTCGTTGGTTGTAAATGGGTGTTTCGGGTCAAGAAAAATCATGATGGAACCATTGACAAACATAAAGCCCGCTTGGTGGCAAAGGGCTTTCATCAGCATGAAGGGAGTTGATTTCAAGAAACCTTCAATCCTGTTGCTAAACCAGTTACCATTATGATTCTCCTTACACTTGATGTCCAATATAATTGGTTTTTGAACCAATTAGACATTAGCAATGTATTTCTTCATGAAGATTTAAAGGATGATGTTTACATGCAACAACCTCTTGGTTGTATTGATCCTAACTCTCCCAGTTTTGTTTGCAAGCTGAAGAAATCCTTATATGGTCTTAAACAAGCTCCTCGATCTTGGTTTGATAAATTGTTTCAAGCCCTTCGTACACTTGGGTTTCACCAATCTCAATCTGATGCTTTTTTTTTTTTTTTTTTGTCCTTAATGGACCTCAGTTGGTCATTGTCCTTGTTTATGTGGATGTTATCTTAGTCACTGGACCCAACTCTTAACTTTGTCAACAATTTATACAACAACTTAGCACTCAGTTTCCAGTGAAAGATCTTGGCCCTTTACACTATTTCTTAGGGTTGGAAGTACACAGATCCAACAAAGGACTTTTTCTACATCAGACCAAGTACTTACTTGATCTTCTTAAGAAAACAAATATGAAAGGTGCAAAACCTTGTTGCACTCATCTTGGTTCTAAGAAACTGGATCACAGTGGGTCTCTCTTATCAAACCCCACTGAATATCGCTCTATAATTGGTGGTTTACCATATCTCACTTGGACTCGACCGTATCTTGCATTTGTTGTCAATCAGATATATCAATTTATGCATGCTCCAAGAGAACAACATCTTCAAGTAGCAAAAAAGGTCCTCAAGTTTCTTAAAGGTTCTATTTCCCATGGTTTATGGTTCACTAAAGGTCCTATCAATCTTTCAGCATACTCTGATGCTGATTGGGCTGGTTGCACATTTGATAGGCGGTCCACCAGTGGATATTGTGTATTTCTTGGCTCTAATCTCATCAGTTGGAGTGCAAAGAAACAAAGCATTGTTGCTCGTTCCTCTATAGAAGCTGAATATCGTTCTTTAGCACATATTGCTGCAGAACTCAATTGGGTCTACAAAATTCTCAAAGATCTTCATTTCCCTCTACCTACACTGCCTACACTATGGTGTGATAATATCTCAGCCATCTCTTTAGCATCTAATCCTATTTTTCATGCTTGAACCAAGCATGTTGAGATTGACTATCACTACATCTGGGAGTTGGTACTAGCAAATCTCATCAAAGTCCACTATGTTTGCAGTGAAGACCAATTGGCTGATCTCCACACCAAATCTGTCTAAAAGCATATTCTCTTATCTGTGTTCCAAACTTCCAATTGGAATCCTGTTTGATTCCTCTTTTAGCTTGAGAGGGTGTATTAGGGAGAATGACAAGTCATCCAACACAGTTACTGTTAAATAGTTTGTTAAAGCTAAATGTAATTAGTTCTGTTAGTAACTGTATAATTAGTTAAGGTAGTTGAGGGTAATCTTGTAACTAGCCTAAGTCAGCTAAGGCTATATATATTCACATCTGTGTAACTGATTTATTCATTCAATACAATTGGAAAACTTACAGAGGAAGTTTTATGTTTCTATAAAGAACTCAGCCAGACTCGATTCCAAACAACATTCACAATTTCATATAAAATTTCAAAAGCCAGAGACTTTAGTGTAAATTACAATAAAATATCATAAAGAAAGCAAATTGTAATAGAAGTCTGATCTACAATTAGGATTTACCTGGATATGGTGATTTACGTTTCCATTGGAAATTTTGCATGCATTTACATCTGATTGAAAAAATAATACATCATGAGTTGGCAAGAAGGAACTTTGATAAGCAGATAAAGAAGCAAGATTGAATATAAGTTTCGTGTACCCTGAAGTTGTTTGTTCTTGCTACAGAAAGACTCGCATCCGTTGTAGCCGCTTCTATTTTCTTCATGGTTTCAGTAATGGTATGCTTGGGTCCAATTCTTCTTATCTTCTATTTCTCATCCTAAATTAAGTTAACAGTTCAACATTATTCGTTATAAGCTAAAAAAGTAGGATTAGTTATTTTTGTAAATCTATTTCTTGTAAACTTGCCTGTTCCTCGAACAGACCTGACAAATCGAGATCATTTGACATGGCTATCAATTGGAATGCATTCATAAAACTTGAGGATTTGGGAATTATTGTCTCCGCCACATTTTCCTGCAATGAAAATAACAATTGTAACAAAAATCAGATATTCGATCACAAATCAAAACAAAGTGCTATAATAAAGGTCGTACCCAGTGCACAAAGTGCTATCAAAGGAAAATATTTCAGTCGATGAAAATACAAAATTGGACTCAACAACCATATTTTCATTTGGTGACTAAACGAATAATTTAGAATGATACAAATTTGATTTGTGATTCCATTATACTTGATTTGTGATTCCATTATAATTTCACTAAAAATGATCAAATTTTGATTAAAACATCAAACAAAAAAATCTCATATGTTACAGATTGGAGCAACTAAGTAAAGAATCTATTGATATGATTTTCAACCTAACTATAAAAAGGAGCTTTATAACAGCGCAATCAACATCATTCGAACCCAACTAAAAAGAAACTGATTGTATGCTATAAATTCGATGGCTAATTTGATTTTGCATTAAAAAGAGTCAAAGAATATTGAAAATCACCAAATCCCATCACAACATTCAGCAAAGAATCGAACCCAAATGTAAAGACCCAGACCATGAAAACATAACAACACATTACCTAAGTCAAAGAATGGAAGAGCGTCAAGAAAACACATGAAATCAGATAAAAAAACATAATATTGAATGAAACATGAAAAGGGTGAGAGAGGGAATTGATATGTATGAAGACATTCGCATATGATAGTGGCCTCGCAGTAGTGTTTGTCGCAGAGATTGGAACATATCCATGTGTCTGAGTTGTGTGCATAGAAATGCTGTTGGTAGACTGAATGTACGCAAACGTGTAATCGCATTTCCAGAACCATTGACGCATTTGAACTATCGTCTTCCATTGAGAGAAAAATGCCACTCACTGAGAATTGAGAAAAAAGGGAAAAAAGAACATAACCCAAAACCTTCTCGAAACCAAAATATAGCGAAAATACAGTACTTTATTCATGAACAAAACAAACCCCAGAGAACAATCAAAATTACTAACTTCCATTGGCAAATATATATATATATATATATATATATTGAATTCTGAAAGCGATGAGAGAAATATACCTTTGGGGTGTCGATGCTAGAAGAGTGAGTTAGGGATCTGAGATGTTTGAGAGCTGGAATGTTAGAGCAATTTGTGCGAAAAAGTTGAAGAGCTTTGAACTGAGTGAAAGACATAGAGAGTGTGGAGTGAGAATGGCAGAGAGAATTAAAACCAAACCAAACAGTAGAAAATCAAGTATAAAATGGTACTTACCTTGTGAATGAGGACATGCAGATGCCGGATGGACGAATGAGAGTACATCCAGGGTCCAACTCCTTGTCCTGTAATTCCAGCATATAAACAGCAAAATACAAAACCAGAAACCCCCAAATTTATTCATTTCTTAATTGAAAATCCAGAAGACAAAAAATGCAAGATTTAATTAATGCACAGAAAACCCAGATCCCACCCCAAATTTATCCTTGAAGGTTTTTTTTATAAATCAACCAACCATTAATCAGAGAAGAAACAAATGATTGAGTAAGGGGAGGAGAGAGTTCCACTGCGAGAGAGAGTGTTTGAGCACAGTGGTGCTGTCGAAAACGGACCGAAGGGACAAACCTAGACCCCAGCCAATATCCCTACCCCTCTCCCTCAAATCCCTACAGACTAAAATGACCATCGCACACCTGCCTTTCTACGATTATAAACACGCTGCATGAAGATCAGCGATAGAGAGAGTCAGTGGCACCTCGTAAATAAAATGAAATTCGGGTCCAAAGACTGTTTATTTGTACAGTGCAATTTCAAAGCCTTCTTTAAACTAAAGTAATAATTTACATGTCACATCATATAGTCCTAATCTAAAATTCTAAACTTACTATTTATCTTTGAACAATTACACTCAAATTTTGTTTACTTTACCCACTTTTAGATCCAAACTTTCACACGTACTTATATCAGAAGTGTTATCTAGAAGATAAGTTTTTAATTAATATTGTCAATGATGTTGTGAACACGGAAAATTCCGGAAACGAAAGAGACAAGAACAACGTGCACAAACAAATATTTGTATTTGATGATTTTGGGTTACAATCTCTCTCTATTTTGATCCTCTGATTTGATTTCCGTAAGGTGTTGATTTGTGGATGTTTTGTTGATCCAAGGGCCGTCAAGGCTTGATCTTGGATGAACTGTTGGAAGTTTCTTCAAGGGGGCCGTGGGCTTGATCTTTGAATGTGGATTTGAGCGGATCTTCAATGAGCCGTTAGGGCTTTGATGTTAAGGATGAGTGTTTCTTCAAGGGCCGTTAAGGCTTGATCTTGAATAACGGTGATGAACGGGTCTTCAAGGGCTTTTGGGCTTGATCTTGAAGAACAGTGATGAACGGATCTTCAAGGGCTTTTGGGCTTAATCTTGAAGAACGGTTGGATGTGTGGATTTGTCGACGTTGTTGATCCAAAGGGCCGTTGGGGCTTGGTCTTGGATGAACGGATGATGAACGATGGTGCTTTCTTTAAGGGTCGTCGGGGCTTGATCTTGAATTGGAAGTTTGTTGATCCAAGGGGCCATCGGGGCTTGATCTTGGAAGAATGATGAACGAAGAACGAAGAACGAAAAACACTTTCTTCAATGGCCATTGGGGCTTGATCTTGAAGGAGGATTTGATGAAGAACGAAAAGGGCTTTCTTGATCCTTCGGGAACCTGGATGCTTGAGAGCTTCGGAGTTTCAGAGCTTCAGAGCTTCAGAGCTTCAAGGTGTAATATGAATTTTCCTCTAAAATGAATGAAATGGGCTTGTATTTATAGAATTTTTCAAGGCCTAATTTTGAATATAATATCCCAGATGAAATAAGTTGTTTTTGCCAAGTGTTGACACGTGTCCTATTTGATGACTTTTCCAACTCATTTCAATTTTCGTTGAGTCGCACGCTACGTGTAAGATTTATGTAATACATGAGCGTTGAAACTTTGATTTATCGGTCAACATTTATTTACCAAAATTTTGATGTCTACAAATGCCCCCACTTCAAGGCGCGTCATATACATGTGCTTGTCACGTGTAGGAGATGCGTTTTGAAGTCCCTTAATGTAGATGTCGATTCAAGGGCCATCGAGGCTTGATCTTGAATTGGGCTGGAGATTTCTTCAAGGGCCGTTGAGGCTTGTTCTTGGACTTTGTTTGAGATTTCTTCAAGGGCCGTTTGAGGCTTGTTCTTGAACTTTTGTTTGAAATTTCTTCAAGGTTGAAATTGGACCACAAGGAGCTTCATGTGGTAGATGATCTTTGGCTTTGGTAGTGGATGAATCGGCACGTATTTGTTTTTTTGCGCTTTGTTGACTTTCCACAGCTTTGATCTTGAACTGGGTTGGAGGATTTTCTGGATTCCTCCAATTGTTGATTTTCCACAGCTTATTCTTGAACTAGGTTTTGATTCAAGGATGGTAGACATTTGATCTTGAATCGGACTTGTGATTTCCTCAAGGGCCGTCGAGGCTTGATCTTGAATTTGGCTGGAAGCTTCTTCAAGGGCCGTTGAGGCTTGATTCTTGAAGGTTGACTCGAACACATGGCAAGCATGCACGAGGTGAAGGTGACGACTTGTTGCTTTGTTCAATCTTTCTAATTCACACCTGAGCAGTTTGGTCAGCGGTATGATCTTCAAGATTGATGGGCTTTTCTTCCATTGGGTGACTTGATCTTTAAGGTTTGGATTCAAGGGTGGTGAATTGGCAAGTGCAGCCCGCAACGCCTGGCGAGTCGACCCAAGAATTTGAGGGTCAAAACGAGTCCTCCACCCAGAGTGATTGCAAACATGATGATATGAGATACTTTTGCTTTTGAAGAAGTAGCGGATGAATCGGCACGTGCTTTGTTGTGCTTGTCTCCACATGCTTCAATGTATCATTTTCCCTTCTCTTATCTATTCTTCTGGCAGAATGTAGCATCTTCTCGAGTTCTTCAGCTCAGACTCCTTCTACTGAGTTGATTGTGCAGGCTGCATTCTTCTCTGCTTGTTTCTTCTGCACGTTGTCTCCACATGTTGCAAGGTATCATTTTCACTTGCCTTATCTGTTCTTCAGGCAGATGTAGCAGCTTCTTTGGAAGTATAGCAGCAGTGGGAGACGAGTACTCGAGAGCAGTGCTAGGTAGGCAATCAGGGAAGGGTTCCAAGCAGTCGGTTCCTTACCCGAGTTTGAGTGGAGGTTCCGGCATATTGTTTTCTTTATCCTTGTCTTTGTAGGTAAGAACAAGGACAAAGGAAATGACGGGGATAAAGCATGATATGAGATACTCTTGCTTTCTACCCTGGTGATATGAGATACTTTTGCTTTGGTGTCATTTGTTTGCAGAGGTACCCCAAGAAATAAGAAACACTGAGTAACTCGAGAGGCCTCGTTGGGAAGGCATTCTCAGAAATGAAGAAAGGTTCTCGGAGATGAAGAGAGGTTCTCGGAGATGAAGAAAGGTTCTGTATGTCTGCCTTGCTATGGAAGGTGAAGGTGGACAGTTATAGGAGGTCCCTTAATACCTGTAGAGGTACTATTCTTTCACTCGTGTCGGCAACTAACGCGTGATTGAACAGTAAACTTCACGTGCTTTCTTTTTCACTGAAAATCTTCGACAAATTGCCCGTGATTTGCGCAAAGTTGAGTGTGCATATGACAGGTGGTGACGCGGCTGAAAAAGACTGGCGCCTCTCCGATATCTGGGATCGGCGCTTCGACAAATTACCCGTGATTTCCGCAAAGCTGAGTTTGCGTGTGACGGGTGCCAACGCGTCTGGAAAAGCAAGATGCTTCTTCGATTTCTGAGCTTGCCTCTTCGATTTTTGAATGGCCTTTTCGAGTTCTGAGCTCGCCTCTTCGATCTCTGAAATCCCATCGAGTGCTGATTTTTTATAGAGGCACGTTGTTCGTTTCAAAGCACATTTGAATTTTCGCTTGTGAAAACTCCCTTCTTGCACTTCTAAGATCTTGATTTGTCCGATCTCTTCTTTCTTCAACACTTTGAAAATGTCTGGACCCTTCGACCGTCGTTTTGACTTGAATCTTGGTGAAGAGGCAGTCCCACCTTCTCCAGACAACATATGGTGCCCATCCTTCATATCCCCTACTGGTCCTCTTACCGTTGGGGATTCAGTGGTGAAGAATGATATGACCGCTGCGGTGATGGCCCGGAACCTTGTCACTCCCAGAGATAACAGACTACTTTCCAAACGGTCTGATGAGTTGGCTGTTAAGGATTCTCTGGCTCTCAGTGTGCAGTGTGCAGGTTCTGTGTCTAATATGGCCCAACGCCTATTTGCTCGGACCCGTCAAGTTGAATCATTGGCGGCTGAAGTGATGAGTCTCAAACAGGAGATTAGAGGGCTCAAGCAGGAGAATAAACAGTTGCATAAGCTCGCACATAGCTATGCGACAAACATGAAGAGGAAGATTAACCAGATGCAGGAATCTGATGGTCAGATTTTACTTGATCATCAGAGGTTTGTGGGTTTGTTCCAGCAGCATTTGCCTTCGTCTTCTGGGGCTGTACCGCGTAATGAAGCTCCAAATGATCAGCCGAGTGATGTGGCTTCAAACAGTCAACCTCCGGCGCCTCTCATTTCTGGAGCTCTGTCGAGTGGTGAGGCGGCACCTGATCGTCCTTGAAGATCCCCTCTTGTAAATTTGATTTGATTTTTTTTTTTTTTAAGTATGTATAATGCAAATTTATGTAAAATTTTCAGAAAAAATAAATAAAAACGGACTTTATTTCTCTTAATGCTTTTTTTTTTTTTGCTGTATATATATATATATATATATTATACACACACATATATATATGTATATACACATACATATATATATGCATACATATATATATATATATATATATTTTTTTTTTTCGCGTGGAGTGATCCACCATCCCAAAACCCATTTTCCCTTTGTTTTTTGCATGGTGCTAGCCACCAAGAATCCACCTTCTCTTTTTTTTTTATTATTTTATTATTTTTTTCGTCTGATTTCACATGGTGCTTGATCCACCATTCCCTTTTTTTTTTCACGTGGTGCCAGATGCACCACCACCTCTTTTTTTTTTTATATATATATTTTTCTGTATAAATTTGGGTGACGGGATGAGGAATTTGTAGGAAATGATGAAGACGACGGAGATGCTGCAGTCGAGGCTTCATGACCGGCTAGTCGTTTGACGGCGGTTATTGAAGCTCTCCGCCGTTTGACGTTTGCCACTGCCATTACACAACCATTGCTCCGCCACTGCATTCTTGCTACCTTGCACTGCCGCCATTGCACAGCCGTTGTACTGCCTGTCGTCGCAAAGGAAGGGATCAT